CTCCCCCTGAGCGCACGGGGCGCAGCACCTCTTGCTTTTCTTTCTTCCCTTTTCCCGTGGACGTGGTGGGTTTTAACCCAGGTTTTTCTGTATTTTTTTTAACAGGGGTTTGCATTGGAAACTGCCACAGCAGCGCTGCATCGGAGGGACAAGCTGGTTCCCTTGGACCCGAGCAGGGAAGGGGATGAGTTTTACCAAGTCCCTGATGGCAGCCGCTACTGCAGGAAGTGCCCGGCGGGTAAGACATCCCGGAATGCCGCGCCACGGGCGGCTCTGCTGCGTGTCTGCCCGCGGAGCCGGCGCCAGGAGGCAGTGGGTGCTCCGGGAGTGCTCTGCCTCTCCCTTGCTCCACCATCCTGAGGTCTAAGGGCTCATCCGGCGAGCGTTTTCCTTCTGATGGTTCCTAATTTGCCCTTTGACTGCGCTGACAGCCGAATCGACGCCCTGTCTGCACAGTCCCGTGCTATGCGTTCACAGACACACCCTTTCCTTCTCCCCCTTTCCTTTTTGCAGGAAACTACGTGTCAGAGCCCTGTACAGAGCAACACGGCCCCAGCAAGTGTTTGCCGTGTAAAGCAAACGAGTACATCGAATACCCCAACGACTTCCCCAAGTGCCTTGGCTGCCGGACGTGCAGGGAAGGTACGAGCTGGTGCGTAGGAGGGCGACGCGGGCTGGGTGCAGCCGGCCAGAGACCCCTCTGCTCAAGAGCACGGTCACCGGCAGCACAAAGCGTGCGGGGAGCAGGCTGGGTCTGGAATTGGCGTAGTGGCTTGCGCCAGACCTCCGTCTCCGTTCAATACAGCCTCCTGTGTTGCAAAGCTCGGACACGAGACCTCCATCCAGCAAGGACCGGGAGGATGTGGCTCACGGCAGCGTTGTAGGCTGCTGGTGATGCAAGCGTTGCTTTTCTCTCGGGCATGGTGAGGTCTGGGGCAGGAAAGGGTAAGGCTGGAACACGGCAGCGGAGAGTGACTTGGTCTTGCCCAGCGGGTCGGGTCGTTAGCCACGTTGATGAAGGAAGAGGGTGGAGGAGCGTTGGTGCGGAGGGGCTGGGGTAGAGCCACCTCTCCTCTCTCCCACAGATCAGGTGGAGCTGAGTCCCTGCCGCCGCGTCAGCAACACGCAGTGCGTCTGCAAGAACGGCACCTTCTGCTCCCCAGACCACCCCTGCGAGATGTGCCAGAAGTGCCGGCCCCGGTGAGCTGGGTGACGCAGCAGATCCCGCCGGGATTTGTGCCAGGAGCCCCAGCCGCTGAGCCTGTCCCATCTCCCCCTTTCCCAGGTGTCCCAAGGATAAGGTGGAGAAGGCTCCCTGCACGCCACACAGTGACCGCCAGTGCGGGCCTCCCGTCAGCACCTTCTCCAGCTCCTCCGGTAAGTAGGGGGCAGCTGGAGGAGGGGTTTCAGGCTGAGGGACGGAGGTGGGAGCCGCTGCTGAGACCAGGAGCAGCTCTCCACACCCGTTTTATCTGCTTTAGGCAGCTGGATCGTCGTGAGCATCGCAGTGGTGGTGGGGACTGGGGTCCTGGTTGGGCTATCCGTGTGCTTCTGGAAGTGCTACTCCCGCCGTTCCCAAGGTGAGCACCAGGACCCCTGGAGCGCTCGCCCCGGCCGGGGACTCAGGGTGGGAAGCGGGACCTGCCTGGGGGAAGAGGGATCACAGCACGGTTTCCATTTCCAGGGGACGCGAGAGACCTGAGTGGGAAGTCCTGCAGCGTGGTGGTGAGTTGCTGGGACGGCGTTTGTGGGGCTGCGGTGAGGTCCCCCGTGTCCTTTGCTCCCCCCTTTGCCTGCAGCTCCTGGGAAGGCTGGAGGAGCAGGGGGATGACTCTCATCCCTGCAGGAATGTGGGAGAGCTGGGCCAAGTCTCTGGTAGTGCCACTGGGGTGCTTGCAGCCCCCTCTCCGGTACCGTTAACCCTTCCCTGTTGGGTGCCAGCACATCCAGGGTCCCCAGTGAGGACCCTGGGTTGAAGGGGGGCTGTGCCATACCAGGAACAAGTGAGCTGTGCCCTTGAACCCACGGCAGGGCGAGCGCCGCTGCCAGAGGTGACACCCCTGAGGGGCGGTGAGAGCCCGGCCCATCTGGGACCACCCGACTCAGCTGGTTTGTGCTTCTCTCCTGCTGCAGGACTACCTGGTGCGGCAGCTGACGAGGTACCAGAGGGGGGGCCTGGGGACGCAGGACAACATCCTCAATGAGCAGCTCTTCCGGGATCAGCTGCTCCACCGGGCGTCGGGCTCGGTGACTCCCAGCGCTCCGGGGCTGGAGGTACATGAGCGTGCCCTCTGCTCCGCCGTGCTCGGCCAAGGTCTGATGCTTTCCTCTGCCCTCACCAAGCTGAGCATCTTGGGGGGCTTCCAGGGCTGGACCATAGTTTCTGCCCGGAGATGGCGAAGGGTCTCTTGTCCTTCTTCTGGCTTCAGGACTGCAAAATCCACTTGTTGCAGTCAGCTGCCAGTGTCCTCTGCAGATTTAATGCTGATGCTGAGCAAACAGGCAGCTCTCCTCTCCCTGGCCAGCACCCACAAGACAGCTCTCCCCTGCCCATGGCCTGTGGTCATCCCAAAGCTGGGAAGCGATGGGTGTCCTGGAAGGACACCTCCTGCCCCTAGAGACCCCGGAGAGAGTCTCCAACCCTCCTATTAATGGGGCTTGGGGACAGCGTTTGTGCTAGGGCCTGGTGGCTGATATAGGACATTGTCTTTCCAGGTGTCGGGGGACTCGTGTCCCAGGGTGATACCCAGGAGGCGGCTGGTTCCAGCGCAAGGAAGAGACCCCGCTAACTGTAAGTGTCAAGGCCCAGGGGATGTGCTGGGGGGCAGGGAGGTGTTGAGCCTGTGGGATGAACTTTCTGGGCAAAATCCTTCCTGACCCAGCTCTCCCTCTAAGCTTTTCCCTTCTCCCCTCTAGGTTTGCGACGCTCCTTTGACATCTTTGCCCAAGATGTGCCCTACAGCCACTGGAGGAGATTCGGCCGAGCCCTTGACCTGTTGGAGAACGACATTGCGCTGGCGGGGATGACCGACATGTATTCGCTGGAGCCCTTCTTCCAGATGCTCCACACGTGGCAGAACAGAGAAGGGATGAGCGCTTCCGTCAACGTGCTGCTGGAGACCCTGCACCACATCAACCTCGGAGGGATCGCAGAGGACATCGCCTCCAAGCTGGTTCAGCACGGATCTTTCCAATACGAAGCGAGCTGAGGAGGGCAGGCCCCGCACCTCCCTACTTGGAACTGAAGCCATGAGTACCTCGAAGAACATTGGAGTTCTAGCTTCTTGTAGCTCTCCTGTGGCTCTTTTCTTCTTGAAGCCATTGTACAGCTTAGCTGAGCCCGGAGGGGTCGATCCTCTCGCGACGTACAGACCTCATGGTCCTCTCTGCCGAAGCTACGGCCTCAACGTCGGTGCCTCCTTACGAAATCCAAGCTCTGGTGCCTTGACTTCACGGGATCGATGCGAAGAACCTACAGACTAGTGCCCGTGGGACCGTGTTGCTTGGAAGCGCTGGTGCTACACAGACATCTTCAGGATCCGGGCAGAGATGGGTCTCCGCAGGATGAAGGCATCCCTGGGAGTTTTAACTGGATCATCACTTTTTTTGGGGGGAGGAGGGGGGTGCTTCCTGGCATCGTGCAATGGCTTCTGCTTGTAGGACATCTCTAAGCTGGGCAGCAAACTGGATACTGTAGGCTCGGTGGGCAAGCATTAGCGGGGTTCTTGGGTTACTTTCTCCAAGCTGTTGAATTGCATTTTAGCCGGTAGTGGTCCTGCTTGCTGTTAGGGACCAGTTGGAAATTGGACTTTGAGGAGAAGCTGGGAATTATTTATTTGCTCTGTGATCACTGGGGTTGCCTAAGAAAAGGGATCAGTGCAGGGAGGGGGTGAGGTCCTGCCCGGAGCGGGACGGGGAACACGGGCAGCGAACGGTTGGCGTGTCGGAAACCTTCTCCGTGGCTTTGGTCAGGCCGGTTGGTTCCCACTCCCTTTGCCGTGGGGCGGCTCTGCTTCCCCTGTCTCCAGCCAGCCTGGAAAGGGGAATGCACTGAGGTCGGAGCGTGGCTGCGGGTACCTGCCATCCGCCCAGCAGCTGGGTGGGTTACTCCTCAGACACTTTGCCCCTCGCTCCGACTCACACGTAGCTCAGGGACAACTTGGCTGGAAAAACTACTGCGTTTACTTGACCTACCTACACGGGACATCGCTCCCGTACAGCCCAGCACCCCCCCGGACCCTCCCAAGCACCCTGGGAGCGTGCGAGGGGTATCGCCAGCCCCTTGCCACGGCCGGGGCCTGCCCTGCACTGCGAAGCCGTCCCTCCCGCTGCCACCCCCTCTCCTCACCAACACTTCAACACTGTCTACCAAACACAAGCAGAATGTTTGTATTTATGTATTTATTTAGTGTAAACGTGTACATAGATTAACTCAAAAGCCAATAGAAAAATAGTATTGTTTTTTTACTATGCCTGATTGTGTTTTTATACAGAGCTCTGGCCCAGCCAGCTCACAATTTCCAGTTTTTACACGTCTCCTATGAAGGAAGAATAAACTTTTAAAAAAGCCTTCTGATTTCTCATCTCTTTTTTTTCCCTCCCCCCCCTTGCTCTGCCGTAACGCTGGCAAAGGTCTGTTCTAGGTTTCAGTGGGCGCCACAGGAGCTGCACCAGATGCTCGGTAGCTGCTCCGCCTGGCACCGGGGACCCAGCCCGCGGTGGTGATGCTCAGCCGTGCCGGCATCCCGCTGGGAACCGTCCCCCCCAGGAATACTTCTGCCAGGAAAAGCCCTCAGCAGCGAACCTGGGCTCTGCCTTCGCACCTATTCCGTGAGTCGGGAGGCTGAAACCTCAGTCCCTCGAGCGTGCAGGGGCTGGGCCCCCGGGGCCGAGTGGTGACACCCCG